AACATTCACATCATGAAAAAACTAATACATTCCTTGCTTCACTTAGAATCTAAAATAAAAAAATACAAAAAATATAATATCCATTTAAAGTGTTTAGCTACTCTAAGTTTCAATTTTTTGTACATTTTTTTACAAATAAATTCTTTTGCAATTAATGATTATTTGAATACCTTAATTAAAATTATAAATTATAAGTTTATAGATTTATTTAAAGTAATAAAATTATAATAGGTACACATTATATATACATAAATGTACAATGTACATTTTCGGTATAGATACTGTTTTATTAGTTCATTTTTTTCCTTTTTTACAGTTATTAAGGTTGAGTTAAGATACATATTTTATGAATAAATATGAACATTAATTAGCTAATTTAATGTTCATAATTTTGGTAATTCACAAAATTATTCAAATTTTTTAAGGTTCTGATCCCCTAGTTGTGCACCAATGTTTAAAAATATTCTTAAATCGTTTAATTTTCTTGTATGGTTTGTAATTGCTCAGATATAATTTAAACATAAGTAGATATTTGGTAATATTAAATTTAATCGATTATTGAATATTTTACATATTCCACGCTAAAAGGTTTATTGTATGTTCCATTAAATCATTAGTCAATTATAATTTAATTATATTTTTATTTTTTAATAAAATGTACGGTTTATCATAGCTATTCTATTTATATAATACATTCAAACCTTATTATCATTTATTTGGAAAAGTTTTCAATTGTTTACAGTTAAGAGTGATAGATACCTGATTTATAATAAATGAAGTTATTTAATTGAATTGTATCGCATTTATTTTGATTTCTTAAATTGATAATACAAACGTGTGCTGGTCAACTTACCGATTCACCTTCATCTTTATAGTTCTATCTCCTGCTGTGTTTTAGCTGACACGTGTCCTTAAAGAAATTAAGTTTTTTTCCAGCTTAAATAAAAAAACAAAGAAACGATTACAATATAAGTTTTTTTATGATATATTAATTTTCATTCTAGTTCAAATATAGAAGAAATATTAATAAGTGTCTTGGCACGTGTTCTAAAATTTTCTTAACCATATGTTTGTTTATAATAATTTGCAGGCCATATTCTTATAAAATGAATACAATGATTTAGTAAAGAAAACATTCAAAGCTAAATGTATCTATTTTTATAACCAACAAACTATAGCCATTTATTTTTTCATCTTTAATTATCTCGTGATCGTAGTTTAATTTAACAGCGTAAATATATTTAATTTAACAGTACAAGAATTTTTAAAAGTTAACAATCAAGATATAAAAAATAAAGCAAAATTTTAACACAAGCTAAATGTATATGAGCAAACTTTTCTAAACAGATTTCTTGTAAATTTAAAAAATAAAAATGTCATAACTAAGAAAAATTTAAAATAAGGTAGTTAGTTATTTTATATATTATGCCTTTAAAATAAAAATTAGTCTATTAACTGTACAATTCTTCACAAGGTAATTTTAATTAATTGTAAATTATTTTAAGAAAGCATAAAGGGTTTGAAAGATTTCCTAAAGATACAAACATTTTTTTAAACTTCATAGAAAATTAAGTTTATTATGTCTGTGAATAATACAATTATTTGTATAAAATAAGTATCCCTTATCTTTATTTCATATCTTCTCTGGCTTAATCTTCATCCAACTATAAGGAGTTGGCTATTTTTTCCTACCATCACCAAATACTCTTATTTCCTTACTTTCTCATATCACTTGCATATTCACATAAATATAACCTTGCAAACAAATTAATTGCGATATGTATTTCGTTAAAATGTGTGTACTAATAAGTAACAAGTACCTAATGAAATACATATTAACAATACTACACAGTATGATTATTATTTTACCCTTATAAAATCAAATTAATTTATAGTTTTTGATAAATAATTATTTTTAATGTAATATATTATGCAATATAAAAATGTTTTTAATACACAAAATGCATAAATATTCAAAACAGTATGTTTACTCTTTGAATTTTAGTAATAAAGTAATACTTAATAATTATATTTGTGATACTTTTAGATAATTTCAATATAATTATATTATAAATGTCGTGTTATTTCTATTAACCATTTGATCCGCGATAGTTATAAATACATTTTTATTAAATTCTTTCATATTTTCTTTCTCCAAAATCTTTTTGTATTGAGAAAAATCTTAAATAGGGATGGATAATTTTGTATTCGACCTATGGAATTATAATTAATTTCTGAAATAGCCAGCAAGATAATTTGGATTGGGCACCCCTGAATTAGACTAATAAATAGTTGACTATGGCCCCGTTGTTTGCAATTAGAATTATTGTATTTTCGTATTTTATGATAAAAATGAAAACTTTTTTTTCTTTGCTTTTAGTTCTTACATATTTTTAATTTTTCTATATGGAATGCGAACATTTTATCGTTTGTCATCTAGTCATCCTTACTATAGTGATATTTTAGAATTTACAATATTAATACCTTTCTATTTTTTTTTTTTTTTTTTTTTATAAAAAATAATTTATTAATATTTACAACCCATTCAGGTTTGAACAATTTTTTTTTTTTTTCAGGAAATATTTATAACATGAAGCTGCAAGACATCAACAATTTATAAACCTTGCAAAATAAAATGTACGTTATTTTATTAAAAATATTTTAGTCCTAGTTTAAATATGATTCTTATATTAAATTTGATACAAATTTTATTCATACAAATTAATCATTTACCTATTTTACCAAAAGCCAAATAACAAGTTGATGTTTTTGAAATATTATATTGGGAATTGGTTTTTTATTGTTTAAAATTTTTTTTTCTTATTTTATTTCGCAATGGTTTGTTTTATTGTTTTTTTTTATAAAGAAAACAAATTTATAAATTTAAGTATTTTTTGTGTCCTATTAATAATCCACTGAGATGGTGTGTGAAACGAAATTTCTTGTTTGTTATTATGCTATCTAAAAAAGTAATCACCAAAATAAAAAACTATTATAAGAAATCAATTCCCTTTGGCTGTAGAATTTAATTAAAAGTTTTCACGAACGACCATATATCCATAACTACGTTAAATACTCTTATAATAAAAATAATAAATATTAATAAATTTTTGACTTATTACACTGAAATTGTATATAATAGAAGTAATTGAATATTTAGTTATTTAAAATACTATAGTTAATACTATTGTTTGGGTAATTCTATAAAAGAATCATTTTTATTTCTTGTTTTCTATGTAAATGTTTTTTATTCCATACATCGTCAAAATAGGCTTCTTAAAACTGGATATTTCAAGACACTAACTACAGTTAATTTGTTCGTAATTGATTTAGAGAATAGATATTTATAGAAATATCTGATAAAAAATTAATTAATTAATTTAAAGACATTTTTTTAGTTATTGATCGATTTTAATAAATCTGAAATTTCATTTATTGGAATCATTATACCATGGTAAAAATGTATGATAATAATATACATTTATTGAATATAAATTAAGGTACTATAAATAAAAATATAATTGTTAAAATATAAATTAACCAAAAAACAAATTTTTTTATTTAAAAATAAACACTTCACACTTTAAGTATATACAAGGTTAAGTTAGTATATTTTTCGTATATTTTAGTGAATATTTTGAAAAATAAATACAATTAAATGTTTAAAATTAAAATTTATTAGGTTATAATATCAACCTAAGACTGAACATTTTATTATTAAGGTCTTGGAATTTTATAGATTTACCATACTTTTAATACGTATACATAGTCATACATTTGCATTTAGGTACTAAATAAAGTACTTTTCTTTAATTTAAAAAAAATGAATTTTCATTAGTGAAGTTAACGAAAGTGTTAGTTAATAGTTCAAAAAAAATTTAGTTAAATTTTAATATTTCGAGTAGTCATACAGAAATAAATCTTAATTGATCATTTTTTAATTAGCACCTAGATTTTACTACTGGGTGATTGTGTTTTTTTTAAAACTTTTTAACACAATGAATACATTTTTTTGAACTATTTATTTTGTATTTATTGCTTTTTCTCACTCAATACTAATAAAATAAAATAAATATCAAGTTAATTTTAAATTTTAAATTTAATTTACTACTTTTAAATTCAATTAAAATATTTATGTAATGAGTAATTTAGTAAATAGCTTAGAAAATGTATTTTAATAGTCATTTATATCAACCACTGAGTTATTAAGTGAATTAGTGAAACCAACTTAAAGAAAGCTAAATATTTATAAAAATTTGAGTAATCACAAACGAATGATAAACGTTTTTAATTTATATAATACAACTCGTCATCGTCTCATATTTAATCGTTCAAACCAACATGCTGAATGCCGAGGCTAATTATTTTAAATAATTTCTTCGGCCAAAACATGATACTAATATCTGATTTTATATTATATTCTGTTGCTCTACTAGTTGTAAATGTCTGTACATCAGTATTTGGACGCCTCATTACAAAACGGCATGCTTGTACAAAACTACGATGATCAAAATGCAAGGAGAGAGAGTTTAAAAAAGAAAAAAAATATGATATGCACGTATATATATATATATATATGTATATAAATGTATATGTGTATTAATTTGTGGTCACCAAATGTACGCAGTCCCGTTTAATTGACATGTTGCGCGGTAGAGGAGGTATTATTAATTATTATATAGTACGTAGTAGTAAAAGAAAGAAAAAAAGAATAAGGGGACGACGACCATCGATGGCGTACACATGTTTGTACGGTATGGTAGCACTTGGCTTTTTTTCTTACATAAACTTTTTTTCTACCGTCATTGTCGCCGTATATTCTGCTTCGTAATAATATTCATCAACTATTATTATCCGATTGAAAGATGACAAAGAAAAAAAAATAATAATAAAAAAAAAAAAACCAACTAACGCAACGTCTAAAACGCGCGAGCTAAACACTCGGTAATGGCGACTACAGGGTTCGAAGCATTGCACACAGAGATGGTGGAGGACGAGGAGGAGGTGAAAATCACGTGTGCCGACTCGGTGATTAATATACCACAGGATTAAAAAAAGTATCGTCCCTTCGAATCTATCCTGCATGGTGACGAGGAGTCAGTCTTGCACAGGACATGAAGACGAACGTGTACAGGCGCATTATAATATCAATATTGTTGTTGTTGTTATTATTATTTAAACTATCGATCAGAGTATAGTGTTCCTGGAAAATAATTGAAACAAAAAACAATTGTTGGTTGTCGATAAAGGAAATAAAACAGAAAAACCAAGTAATTTCTCTTGTTCGGTCTAAGGAGAATAAACGATGAAAATCGAAAACGACGTGGATCCTTGTGTGTGGTTTAGCGAGTGCCTGGGACCAGAACCGCAAGACTGGATGAAGGACGTGGGATTGGACTGGTTTGACGAGGAGCTGCTGGGACCACCAGAATCACCCAGGGCTCAGCCCACGGTCAACAATGATAACGGTGCGGACCATCATCATCACCGCGTTCACCATCATTATCATCATCATCATCATCACGATCATCAGCAATACTATCACGACTATCCGTCGTACACCATAGAGTCATCGGCGTGGTTGATACAACAGAATCAGTTGCAGTCGACGGATTCCGACGAGGACTCTTTGCCACCGCCCGTTTTACCATCCATGATACCCGGCACGAGAAGTTTTTCCGACGAACTCCATAAGATCCGCAAACCATATTCTTTAGGATTGCCCTCCACCACTGCTGGGTTAGCCTCGGTAAGATGATTTGATTTTACATACAACATATTATTCGGTTTGATTATACTTTTGTAGCTTTGTTAAACTTTTTATTCGTATGAAAAATATCTTTAGAAATTAGTATTTCATGACGATTATGTACACGATGACATTCAATTTTCAAAAATTAAAACTCTTGCAAATTGAAAAGTTCATTTAAATGTGCTTACTGAGTATAAAAGTTTAATTTAATTATCAGCTATATCTGTACGATTTATGTTTAATTTTAGTTTTTATTTACAAACGTATCGATTCAACAGATTTATTAGAAGTTTTTAACAATCATATAGACATTTTTGGTCAAAAAAGTTTAATAGTTTACGTAACTTTTAAATTAAAAATTGCTATTTTTGGTGGGTTCTTCATTGTGTATTATAACTACAGCTTAAGATGTTTGTGCAAAAACAAATAACCTAATTATATATATATATATATATTGTAGTTAAAGTAAAATAAGGAAAGCGAACAAATTATTTTTCTTTTATTAAAGTTTCAAATAATTATATTTATAACTTATGACAATAAGTCTAACTTAAACTTTGATATAAACTATGAAACAATAAATAGTTAGATATACTAAAAAAAATGTCTACATTTTTAATTTAAAAAGTATTTGGATAACCTCATATATATTAACCTAAATGTTGAGAGTATTTTTTAAATATCGCAATAATTAGTACCTAGTACCTAATCGTATGTATTAAAAACAAAAATAATATTAATAAATTACTTTAAATAAGGGTGAGTTTGTACTAATATTTTCAAAGTTTTAATAACATTTTTTAAATTTTTACATCAAAATTATTATTTCGATCAAAATGTTTCTGATCGAATTATTATTGCTAAAAACAATATAACTGCACTCTAAGTTATGTCTTTTTTTTTTTCAAATATTGTATAAAATATGAAACTTAAACGCAACTATTTACGCTAAATTAAATAAATAAAAAATGAAATCACTTTACATGAACATTAAGTTTTCATTCTTTTCCACTAAATAAAATGTAATTATATCCATATAAAAATGTATACAATATTCCATGAAATCTTATTACTCTTAAATCGTGGGGTGGTTATAAATTTGATTTATCTGACAGTTTTTAATTAATTATTAATTATAATTTATGCTAAATAACTCAATGTAAATATATCACGATTTATTAAATCTAACAGAACAATGGAGTATAGGTATTATTATTTTACGTTTAACGTATTTGATTTAAAATTAAAGCAGTTTCTGAGGAGAAAAATAAATATTTGATGAAAAATATTTAATTTATGTGCATTTTTGTAGATCTGCATTAATTTAATCATATGGTTTAATTTTTTTCGTGAATTATTGTTCAACGAAATTTTTTTATACATTACTAAATTAATACAATGGTATTTTAGGAAATTCAAGACTTAGACTCATTCGGACACACAGTGACCGCCGACGTAGAAGATCTCTACACGTTCAATATACCATTTTTAACGAATGATCAAGATGATGAATCGTTTCTTGTCTCAGATAACCAGGTTCGTTTGATAGATTATATAACATAATTCTTAAATATCAGTGATAGTTAAGCCAGAGGCTTTGAGGGAATGGAAAAATGTAAAATCCACAAAATACAATGGAAATTCGTCAATGAAAATCGCCCACCATATTACCACCATAGTTGTATATAATAAAAATATATTTACAACATATTATATAGTTATATAATTTACACTTGAACTCGGAATAGGACATAGTTATTTATTTTCTGCCAGTCATATGACTGACTTAAAAATCATAATAAGTTTATTAATTAAATACCATTTATTATAATTGTATAATGTTAGCCTCAAATGTTAATTGATTGTTATAGTTTTATTGTAATCGCTTAAATTATTTATTATATTACATTTATTTGTTAAAGGTGGTGATGCCAAAACGTGATTGTGATGCCATTATATATGACACATTATTAGAACCCGTTCACCAAGGTAAATATCTACTGATACGCTTATGTACTTAGTTAAATGATCATCTGAAATTATATATACTTTTAAACTACCCGGAATGATTAATATTATTTACATTTTCTCATAACGAAATAATTTGAGTTGGAAGACATTACTACATTTTAGAACTCTCGAGTTTTTATAACTAACAGATACCTAAAATATACGAAAGTTGTATTCTTCTTAAATTTATGAATTTTTAACTAAATTGTGTAAAATTAAAATAAAAAAATCAAGGAATAATGTATGACTATTACAGTCATATAGTAATTTAAAACAAGATATACTTCGAAATCGGAATAAAAATTTAAATTTCAAATATTAATTTCTTTTAAATAGACAATATCGAAATACATTTATAAATAGTATATATTAATATATAATAATTGGTATAATACAATAATATTTTGTTCACGTAAAATAAAACATTGTTTAATTGTATTTTGTAGAAATCGCATTTCATGTTATTAAAAAAGAAACATTCCTGTATTTTCTAATAAATAATTGGCATTTATTTTTATGCGCGTACATCAATTGCTCTCGATATATTGTTATCTACAGGTTTTTCTTAAACCTTATATTTATTTATGAGCGCACATCATAATATTTTGGAGATTTGCCAAAAACGATAAATGCTATGATTTCTTAAATAGACAGATACTTATTATAATATTCGGTCTCGCTATGATTAATTGTGACTGTTTCAATAAATGTAAATCGTGTACAATTGGTAATCCTCCCATTAACTGAGTTTAAAATCCACAGTTTTAATAACTCTGTTATGAAATCGTACTTGGAGTATTTTGACAACCCAAAACTATGTATGAGCTCAAAACAATATAAGTAACCTTAAATCATGCGTTTTAAAAATTTAAAGTGAAATAGTCCTAAACATATAGTAATAATATACAAATAATATGTAATATTAATATATAATTATATATAATAAGTTATAAAATAATATAAAAAATAGTCAAAGAAGTCCTCAAAACTTTTGTTGTACTTTCATGTGCTCTTCTGCGAACACAAAAATAGATTTCTTCAATTCGTGGGGTTTTTTTCTTATACCGGTAACTGAAATACTATAAACGTAATGTTGTGCAATTGTAATATATGTATTCAACTGGTAAAGCGGGCTACAAAATAACGAATGGTTTTCAGAGGGATTTTTAAACGGAACAATTAGTGCGGCATAATTGTAAAGCAGAGTGAGGTTATATATCGAATAATATGACTGGTCTCATGTTAATATGATGCGTGATAAAGTTAAACCCGATGACGTGTTCGATTAAATCCCAACACTCGACCGGGTTCGACGCTTCATATAAGGGAGTGAAGATTCGGTCGAATTACTCCAACGGATTAGCCGAACGGACGTCACCGAATAGTACAACAATTTCAAATTTTATTTGTTTCAGTCACGTTCATCGCCTATAATGTACTATAATAAGTTTTTGTCCGATCAAACCGGGTATTCGGTTGAACATTTTATTTTGACACGCGCATTTCCTAAACGCGCACATATATGTACATCTGTGGGTTGGAGAGGATGCGCAATTCCGTACTCGATTCGTGACCCACATAACCTTTTTAACGGTGCGAAGCGAGGGTTTAGAGGAGGGTGGGATGTCGCACGACGTGTACAATAACAATATGCGCGTTGCCGGGTGCCCGGCGCGATTTTTGCGAACGCGTTTTACGCTCAGGGTCCTCGACCCCGATGCACGTACCCACGGCAACGAGTTGTTCTATTTCTTATTTTCCGTTTTTCTTATTCTCCCTCGTGTCTCTTCGTTCGACGCTCTGCAAAACATCATCATTATTATTATTATTATTGCTGTTGTCCCCGTTCATTTTATTATGTTATCGCGTTTCCACTCGTCGGTCGATCACCGCGCACGACTACGATTTAACACGATGCGTAATGTTCGCGTGTTATACCCGTCGCCGGTGTGTTGTTATTATTTGATCACGTACTATTTGTGTGTTCGCAGCCGATCCCTGCGACGACGGGGTGCGGACGTGCGAATGGGAAGGGTGCACGGTAAAAGTCGATGGGCCAGGTCAGGAACCGCTCGTCAAACACATCGAGAAACTGCACGTGAACACCGCGTCCCGAGGCGCCTGCGCGCAGTACACGTGCCAATGGCGAGGCTGCCCCAGACGTGTGCGCCCGTTCAATGCCCGCTACAAGCTTCTCATACACATGCGAGTGCATTCGGGCGACAAGCCTAATAAATGCACGGTAAGCCATATTATATTGTCATTATAAATTATTCAAATTATTCAAATGAGTTTGTACTCACTATGAATACAATTACAATTATTATTATTACTAGTATTATTATTATTATTATTATTATTATTATTATTATTATTATTATTATTATTACTATTATTATTATTATTTTTATTATTATGCGAGCACGATTCGTCCTTTGTGCAGTTAAACGTTGCCGTTAGCTAGCACAATCACGGTGGTTTATGTAAATGACATCCCAGCTCGGTTAATAAAAGATATTTACTCGACTATCAAAACCGTTGCAGTAAGGTTATTGTGTCGTTGAATAACAATAAACAGAGCCTGTACAATGGGGTTGGAAATTGCAAACGATCCAATGTGCTTATGATTATAATGAAAACGATTTTCCAAATACGAGAAAATCTAATAGAAATAAAATAAAAACGCCGAAATAAAATAATAAAAACCCTACACGGTAGTATTATAACTAACAGATTTAAGATTTTTAAACGATGTCATTCATCGGCCGCATACTAGATGCGTTCCAAAGATATCAACGAAAAAAGGTCTAATCCGAATTGTGGCCCGAATTTATTTTGGGTATAGACGAGTTGTGGCCCGGGTTTTTTATCTCTAGATAATTTAATCTTGACTGATAAAATGTTTTGCGAGGCTTTTCATTCAAAATTCAACGCTTTGTTCTACAGAGCTCATCCTAGTATTTTTGTATTCATCGATGTTCTGAAAAAATGTACAGAAAGATACCTATATAAAATTAAGAAGCACTCATTTAAATACTCGCAGAACAAATATAATTGAAAAAGAAACATTTATTAGAAATGCTATGAAACGGGTAGAAGAAAACCAAATTGACAAATTGTCATTAATATATTACATCATATAAGTTTTTACCAGTGCCATAATACCTAAGAATTTTACTAAATTATACTAACATTTTTAACTTCAATAAATATCATATATGCTTTTACCAGTGCTGACATTTTTTAATAAAAGTAAAACATTTTATCAGATTTTAATGTCAAAAAAACGTTTTAACCTTAAAAAATATCATATATATTTTTAACAGTGCCAAAATAAACAAAACATCATTTTTAACCTACCTGCAGTATCTAATAAACGTGAAGGAAAAAGAAGCTTTTTAAATTTAAATTTACATATTTAAATTAATTTAATATCAAATTTCAGGCCACAATTCGTATATAACCTAAAAAAAACTCGGTCCCCAATTCGTATGCACCCCAAAAACACTCGGGCCGTATTTCGGAAGAAATTTTTACCGCGGGACGCAACTAGTAGCCACTCCATTTTTCCGGTATTTTAGTCGTTTGACTCATGATGATTGTTAGAAAAATATAATTTGAAAAACAAAATTATAATTAGTTTCTATTAATAAATATTTATTTAAACTAATACGCCGTAACATTAAAATGTATCCCAGGTAACAGATACATATTTTCCATTACACATAAACGTTATTATTTAAAATATCTACTTTAATATATGCAAATTGATCGGAGGTTCTATTTTGATATCCTACCATTAATACAACATGCATACAATTTTAAATATAAATTTGAATATTTTAAAAGTTAAATTTACATTTCAATATTTTAAACACTAAAATGTTTGCGTTTATTTAAATATCGGTTTAAATATTTAAACCACGTTTAAGTACCTATGTATTTAATACTGCATACCTAATTGTAAGTTATTTCATATCGCACGTTTGTAATTTAGGATTACCGTAAATGTTGATGGGATGCTTTTAACACGGTATTAAGATTTAAGGAATGCTGAGGCTCATTACATAATCTTATTAGCGTTCTTATTTATGTGCGTTTGATTTATCAGCATGAACACGTTATTTTAGTGTACGACCGTTAGGTTAGTTAGTAACCTAACTTAACTTTTTTTTAAGGGAGGGGATATCTTCTTATCAATTACTTTAGTCAGAAAATGTACATTTTTTATGTTATAAACAATAGTTTAATAAAAATAATAATGCAAGGATGTTATATTTTCTTTTATCATACTTTTCAGAATTTTAAATATTTATAAAAGACACTAGTACAAACATAGCTGAAAAACATTTAGAGAAAACAATATCAAAGAGGCATCTATGGCGCTATGAATGTTGTTCAAGTATATAGTTCTACGAAACGGGCTGAATTATAATAGATAAAATTATATAATAATAAAATTATCATAGATTTATTTATAGGTAAGGGAAGGGGTGACTTATAGATGTAAGGTTTCGATATGAAATTATCATAAATACAAATTAAGAGTTATTCATAGTTAAAAAGGTAAAAATCTTCTTTTTTTTTTTTGTTTATCGGTTCATCAATAATTTCTTCAGTTGTCATTTTGTTTTTATTTATAGATAAAATCGCTAAACCGTTCAATCTTCCCTATAAACAAAATATATTACAATATTACAACCACATTATATAAATTAATGTTCTCTCTTTTTATTTTTTCGTAGCAAGTCGTCTACGACATTTGAACTTCTTTTTTCTTGTAGTGGTGGGGCCCCCTCGGTCAAAATCCGAAAATACGCCACTATTTCATATCTCTAGAAACTCAGGACCGAATTATTTTTCAATTACAAATTAGTTTACAAACATCCGTTTGATATTTTTCAAATTGAAAAGACGACGACGATCTCACGTGATGATATTACATTTTTTCCTATAACACTGCACTTTGTATGATACCTAACAAATGAAAAAAAAATTTTTTTTTTGTTATTTGTCGAATTGACATAATCCACTTGTTCGCGAACAAAGACAATACATTTCCTTTCCCGGAGATTTTTCCCATGATACATCGCCAACCATTCAAATACAATCCTAACAATTTTAAATATCGATCGATTAAACTCTATTATACACTGCCGGACGTTGTTTGTTAAGCATATTTTATTGCGAGTTACTGATTAATTCTACAATAACATGCTTACGCGTTAAATCTACGTGAGTTTTTTTTTCGCCGTTAAGTCTGTTTTTAACATTGACGACGATGACACAAGAGGAATGTCATGAAAAAATAAAACTGATAAAATAAATGATTTTTATTATATCTTCATACTATAATGAATTCTATTCAAGTTACATAACAAAAAGCCCTTTTTAAAAACAACATATTTTATTTTCTATACATTTTTTCATATTTAGTCGCGATTTGATTGAATTTGTATGTACCTGATAATGAATTTTTAATTCAAAACCAGTGGCACTTTATAAATATAATAATACTTCAGACTAAGCTTTTATTTATTTATATATGTAAACTAGGTATTTGTATATTTATGTATATACTCGTATATTATTTATTAATATTTTTCCTGATTTATAATTTTTAGAAAATATCAAAATTTGATTTCTTTGTTATTTTATGTTTCATCATATACACTTATAATAATAATATTAAAAAAAATAATATCGTGAATACGTGTTGACTTAAACGTGTTGATGTGCATTTTATTTATTTCATGTGCATTACTATTGTTGCATGTTTCCCTGCTACTATCAAATCTTGCAAGAAGGTTCATGAATTTAATTTAATACAAGTTTATGTGCGTGAAAATTCCCAAAGGAATATTGGACATTTCAATGCATATTTAACTTATTTCGAACGTACGCATATTGTACAGTTTTTCAGTACACTGAGTGGCAAACCACGGCTTACGTTTTATGCGTTCGGATTGATATTAATTAATATTGTATCGTTATCCGATATGTTTCGATTTTATTCTTAATTTTAACGCCATATTTAAACACCATTGATCAATGGAGAAAATGCAAATAATTAATAACATTTATGTATTTTCGAACAGTTTGATGGCTGCCCGAAATCATTTTCTAGACTAGAGAATTTGAAAATCCATCAGCGATCGCACACAGGTGAAAAACCATATTCTTGTCAATTTTTGGGCTGTGTAAAAGCGTTCAGTAATAGTTCAGACAGAGCGAAACATCAAAGAACACATTTTGAACAGGTATTTACAGTATACATTTCATATAACCATCTAAACGGTAATTTTAAGGAATTATAAACTAATTAAATATTATATTGATAAACATAATTTTACTCGTGGAAATTATAACTATTATAATTATTTAACTACACGGAAAACACATTAATTATTCGTATTTATCTTATGTTGAAATCATACCTATACATTATAAATATTTTCATGTATCTGAAATATTATTCAATATCTGCAAATTGTTATGTGCAATAACAAAAATAATAAAATACATAGTTATTTAGTTGTAATAATATGAAGTAATGTTATATTAATAATATTTGTATAATTTCTATGTAATTTTTAAAGATACAAAAAATATACACATACGTGTAAACTCATAAATTGCCTATACAAAATGCCGTCTAAAAGTAAAAATATCGTTAAATAAATGTGAGATTAATTATAAAACTGAAGAAGATGATATGAAATATATAGACTTAAATTATCTAAATAAATAGATACTTGAATCCTAAATATGTTTTTGTATAACATGGAATTATTTTCTAGAAAAATTAAAAGTCTCGTAAATAACACTAGAATTTTTTGTTAATATTAAATTTTTCTAATAAAATATACATTTTTTCTCTTATAATATAATTTTGTAAATAATTTAAAAAATTACTAAAATAGGGATTGTATCTTTTAAATTTCAACAGTTTTTATAAAGTCAAAATTTAATGTTCAATAAAATTATCATTATTTATAAATTTTTTTTCACGGGAATAATAGGGAATAACGGGAATACCTTAAAAATATTTCATAATAAGGAAATAAAATAAAATATATTATTAACAATTTAATATAGCTTAAAATGTATAGAATTACGTAAAAACTAAATTTAATCTCTAGATTTTAAACATGAATTTCTTGTTGCTTAACTATCTTTGCCAAAAATAATATGGAAATTGTTAACCTCCTGACCCCAGTCTTAATAATAATGCAATTATAATAAAACGTTTTTCGTAGTAATATGAAAAACTATAAGTCATATAACATTTTCATTTTTGAATTGATATTTAGAAATCGTGTTTCTACTTATACTTTATAATTATGTTTTATAATTAATAAATAATATAAAATAAATTGATTGAAACACGAAAATGTGTTCAAAATAGAATTTTGGTTTTAATCTTACTATTAATTTGTGTGCAACACACATTTATAAATGCTACCATTACATACCGGCTACAAACTATTGATTATTTTCAAGTACGACTGTCGCAATATTTATTCGAGCCAAAAAAAAAAAATAATATAATTTAATTTTCTAAATAAAATGTAAATACGAGATGAAATACTATATTGAAATCCATTTCTGTAATTGAACTTCGTATCAAATTGTAATGTTGTATTATTTGCAGAAACCGTATGCGTGTACAGCTAGTGGATGCAACAAACGGTACACTGATCCAAGCTCACTCAGAAAACATGTGAAAAACCATAATCCACAGCCATCGACGGTAAGTTGAATCAATTAATATAGACGAATCGAATACAATCAAATGTTGACCACTTAGATGAACGATCGGATTTTAATTATTGTCAATATTTGTTGAAATTATACATTATCCGTTGCGTTACGAATACAAATCAAAGACAATCGTTTTGTTTAATTTCAGAAGCAGTGTGCTAAAAATGTCCTACCTAAATATCATATACAATCGAATTTACCAATAACAACAAACATCCAAACAATTTGTACGTTTTTAATGTATTTTTAGTTCGTTAACTATAAATTAAAAATTTGATTAAACATTTTTTAATAAATATTATTAATCATTCTGTTTCAAATAGGTTATCCTGATGAAAAACAGTTCAAAATCAAATTAGAAAAGACGCAATGGTAGTATGTATGTATATTATAAGAAAATAAATGAAATAGGAAAATACATGTTACATTTATTAAGTTTGAGATGTGATTTTGTAATTACTGTTAATTAAGGGAAATTAATTACGTCTCAGAATTTGAGATAGTAGAAAATTTTAAATTTTAAAAATTGTTTTAAGAAGATTTAGACAAAAAATTTTAATGTGATTACTATTGTCATAAAATCATGAATCTCATTTTATTAATTTATTTGCTCATTATTACTAAAATTTTATGTACGTTTTTTTTTTTTTTTTTATTAATTGTTTTAGAAAATTATATTTTATAGGTAATTTATAATTTATAAAAGAAAAATCATTTGAAACATAAGTTGCATTAAAACAAGCAATAAATTTGTATTTTTTCTATTTTATGTACCCATAGCTCGTAATCATCAATAATGCTCATTATTATACCAAAACGATAACCATTTTTATTTTGTATTTTATGTTTGAGCATAGTAAAATGTATTTACTTTTTTTTGATTTAGCCAGAAAATAATTTTTTTTAGTTACAAGCAGTTAGTGTTTGTTAGTTATTTTTAAAATGTTTTTATGCAATGGGATCGATTAATATAAATGAATTACGAGTTATGGAATAAGTGATATCGGGTCTAACCATAATGGGGTAGACGGATTTCAACCTCCTCCTCAAGGTTAAATAAATAAATAATAATGCTGATATTTATGTTTGTGGAGATTAAATTATTATAACGGATAAAAATTTTGTGCACGGCCATAAAACATTACATTGATTATTTGGTGATGTGTGACGTAATGACAATAGACGAGGTGATTTCCACTCAATGCTATTATAGAGGAAAAATAGAACAATGACCAGAAGACAATTTAGCTTTAATCGTGTGCTGCGTTTCAGGCAAGTCTCATTATATATTTTTACTAGTATTTTTATCGTCCTCTACAAATGTTTTTCAGTTATATAATTTCTTTTTACATAAATTAACAACAAACATAACAAAACTATTATTCTAAACATTTAAACATTTGCTATAGTTTAAAACAATGCAAAGTATATTTTTAATTTGGAAATTACCTGTTTAGTATGGATTTATATGAGTTATCTACATAATATTGATGTAAGATTTACTTGTGAGTAGCGACCCAAAATAGATCGACCTAGTCCAACCAGCTGTTTAAAAGTGAGACGATTACTGGAAATTTTATTTTAAAACCAGATCGAAGTCGAATTCACCAGTGTAAACGAAATACCCTCAAAATATTCTATTTTTACAATTGTTATGTTAATTAGATGTTTTAATTATTAAATAAAAATGAAACGTCTAAACAAGTCATACATTTTTTCATTCATCAAAACTACTGGATTAGCATATAATGGTCATCAAATATAAGCATTTATAACTCCTACGAATTGGTTTATATTTTATAGATTTTTACTTCTTTTTTTATTCACTTTTTAACATAATAGGTAATTGAATAGAAAGAAAAAAAATTGGGAAATTTTGGTTGTTTAATATGTTTGTAATTAATTGCCAATCCTCTATGTTCAGTAAAATTTTCTGTTTTAAACTTATTGTCAACAATATAGTTTAATTTAATTTTAAAGAAAAACTTAAGCAATAGCTATTTATTTTATGATAAACTGAAATGCCATAGACTATCTTAAAAAATAAATAACATATAATTTGAATTATAAAACTGGCATATGTGAATGACTACAATGTAGATAATCGTATACGATAATATCCTAGCTGTTGTAAATCATTCAAAATCATACATGTTCAAAAATTACAGTTTTTATACCATATTTACATGCATGTTTGAATCATCACTGTCTAATTTTCATTGTTTAATAATTGGAATAGGTTTTTTTTTATGAAACACCAATGAACAGATTATAATATCCATTAACCCCATACGTGTTATAAACTAACAATTAACTTACAATTCTAATTGTTGAAAATGTATGTCATGAACGTTTCAATTGCAAGAGCGTATTAAAGGAATAAAACGTTAAGTATTCGAGTAGTTTTCGATGCTAGATAGCCGTGTCCGATCAAAATATATCTCGCCGAATGATACAAATCATTTACTTAACTTTGATCATTTTTGTACTTTTCTTTGGTCCAACTCGTTTTCAATTATTTAACAATATTCACAATAGGTATTATCAATTACTCAATAGCTTGCGAACACTTGTGTTTGCGATACGAATCCTATCAAGAAAATCTATTCAAAATTACATGATAATCAAGCCATTATATTAATGAAATAACGATTATAATATACGAATAATACAATCAATACATAGATACGACGAGGTGAGGATTGAACATTAAGTTTGATATGTATATTACGATTGTAATCAAACAGAAAGATCGTGACGTTGTAATATGATCAAAGGTGAATATTAAGTTAGACATTTTGACAGTCATTCGAGTACCTACGGAAGACGACGTAATTATTAGCCGGGTATTATGACGAATACATATTATTATGGTTGGCTGATAAACATCTAAATCCGGATAGACGATATCTATTCTTGTATTAGTCGACGCTGTAAATTCAATAACAATATTTGTATTAACAATGTGAACGAGCACATGTTATGAATGTATTATATATATAAACAGATTTCACCACCTTTACGGTCGCTGCTGCCAAGCACGGATTCAGAGGAGCGGTATAGGCCCCTCCCCTCTGTTGACCGTATTCAAATTAGTTATTTGATTTGTTAAATTTATAATGTTAAATTACAATATTTTGTGTAATTTCCATTAAAAAAAAAAAATATATATATATATATAATTAATTAGAACTAAAATAATTAGAACTGTTTTAACAAAATAATTAAAACCACTGTAAGTCAGGTATCAAACTTGGAAATCTTAGGTGGAAATAACAAGCCAAAATTATCTAAAGTAATGAAAAACAGGAAATATCCTCAAACTAAATCTGCTGAAGAAAATGTTAGAATAACTGTTTGTTCCCTTTCTATATGATTTACTACATGATTTAGAATCTAGATTAGATGAATATTTTATGTCCGTTTATGATCTGAACGTGATGCTGCAATAAAATCCATTTTTGATGACAAATACAAATTAGAAAATAAAATAAAATACGTGATAAATCAATTTAGTAGTTCGTGAAATAAATATACCTAGGGATATTTTTTAAATTTACATTAATTGGTGAATTTGAACTTGAACATAATTATTGATTGCAAGATGAACAATTACCTTCATTACCTTTAGAAACTCTCAAAAAATATGACTCGGACATTTTTCTGAAATATATAGATTATTAAAAATATTTATCATTATACCAGGTACATTGTTGCACATGAACGGAATTTTTTATTAATATGATGAATCAAAACATGGATGAGGTCGAGAATATCAAAGAAATGATTAATTGGACTGACATTATTATATGCTCATCGAGACATTACTATATAAACCACGAAAAAGTTGTATACAACTATATTTATAGATTTTATTAACTAAACAGAAGATTGGAATTAGTAATCTCAGACATATCTACTGAATATTTCGACTATTAGATACATTTTAAATTTTTAAATTAAAATTTTGTTGAAATTTAATAATGTATATAATTTATTTATTTAATTTATTGTCTTTTTATGTTTTACTCGTATCCATTTTTATAGATTTTTTTTTATGATTTTTAGAATCGAAATAAGTAATTAGTATGTTATTAGTATGTTACACTACTATAGTTTTATTTGCAAAACATATACATACACTCGTATATATATTTATAGGACTAATCCTTATATATTTAATATTTTCAAATATTTTTTGATTTTATTAAATATTACGATAATACGATATTGTCAAATACTTTTTTTTATTGTTCAAACTACCTTCTGTTATACATTTTCTTAAAATATTTAATTTAAATTCTAATCACACAGAATTTCTTTGAGATCATCTATGTCAAAATATTTAATTAAACCAATAACATTTTTTTTTTATTATATTATTGTTATTTTTAAATTATATAAATCTCTTTAGATTTTGTTAAATACATTAGTTTAACCACCTTAGCCAGTAATAATGAATATAACTTTACTTTAACAATAATATATTAACCAAGATATTGTAGTTATGTGTATTTAAATAATAGTATTAATGGGATTAAGAGAAGCTACTGTTCTATTCTTACGTTCACCATTAACTAAGACTATAGATTATTATTATTATTGAGATATTTTCAGGTAATGAATATAAACGTTTATATAGATAGTTAATACTACTCATATTATATAGGTCCTAGGCTATGCCTTTTTTATAAATGATAGTTTATTATTTATTAATATTTTCATAGTATATCTTTTATTTTGAATAAATATATTTATATGTATAACTTCTTACCAGTATACAGCAAATGAGAATATATAACTTATTTTGTGATGAATCAAGGAAATGAAAGTCCTCAGAATAAATGGATTCAGAACAAGAAATTACTTTTAATGTAGGTAATAATTTTAAACACTTTTAATATGAGCATAAATAATAACAATTAAAATCTTGAAAAAGTAGAAACAATCAAGATAGGATAGAATGAATACTTATTACTTATTAATTTTAACTAGTTATTGTATTATTGTTGATGATTTTTATAATATGCTATATGACGTATTGTAAATATCATTAAATAACAATAATTATTCTAAATTATAATTAAAATGCATGTATGTATATGTATTGTATAACTTTTACAAGCCATTTAGGCTCATTACTGCAACAACCACTTGTCTTCACTGATCTTTTTCCTTAGCCAATTCAACTCCGTTCTCAATTCCAAGTTCTTCTAAGTCCTTGTCCACTCTATACTTCTATCTTTGTTTGAGGCGTCCTATTAGTCTTTTTGTGTTCGGTTTCCATTCTGTGACTTGTCCAATCATTCTCTCTGATCTCCACACGTGTCCAGCCAATCTCAATCTATTACGTTTTAACACACCACTGATGGTCGCTTCTCCATATCGATCTTTAATTTCCTGGTTTGTCCTCATCTCATATTCTCCCTCGCTATTTCTTTTAGATCCATAGATTCTTCTTAATATCTTTCGTTCAAATATCGCTAATTTGAGTTCGTCCGATTTTTTGTAACCCACGCATCACATACATACAAGGCTACTGGTTTCACTAGAACTTTGTAAATTTTACTTTTGATTTCCATGATAAAATATTTTATTTTTAATAGAGGTACTAA